GCAGCTAACACCTCCCTGGGGCTCTGCCTGAGTCAGACCCTGGCTGTGGCCGCGAGCCCTCCCTGCCCGTCCCCTCCGGCCCCCGCAGCGGCCCGTGTTCCCCCCCAGCTCTGACAGGTGGCCCGCTCTGTCCAGGGAGCAGCCCCTCCTCAAGGAGGTGTTCCCACCCGCGGCACCGCAGCCCGCGCTGCCCCAGCACTCAGAGCGCGGGTGTCAGGTCACGTCTCCCCCCAGACCCACTGCCCCTCGCCCTCTCCCTGGGCACCGGCCTGGCCCTGGCGCACAGCAGGTGCCCAGCGACGTGCTGAACAGACAGGCTGGCCTTGTCCCGTGAAGTCCTCCTCGACTCCCACTTTCCTCACCAGCAAAGCAGGACTGTGGTTCCACTGTCTCGTGTCAGGGAAGGAGGCAGAGGCTCGTGGGGTAACGCCGGGGCCACACAGCAAGTGGCAAGTCAGGGGCCTGAGCCAGGTCTGCCCCAGCCCTGGTCAGGGCTTCCCCGAGCTGCCTGATGATGAGCATGCCCTGGGATGGTGGGTACAGACATCAATTCCCTGGCTCCCGCTGATGGGGATTCAGGGACCGGGGGTGGGCCCAAAAACTAACAGCCCTCCTGGTTGTTGTTGACCATTCTTCAGAAGACACCTCAGGGTCCCCCGCTCTGACCTGGGCCTGGGGGCCAAGACCATCTCCGCAGAGTGTGTGAAAAGCTGAGGCCTCCCCGGCCCGATGACGGACCTGCTGTCATAGGGCCTGGCCTCCCAGCACAAGAAGCTGGCAGGGACAGCTGCCTTCAGGATGGACCCCCCACAGCGGCTTCAGTCCATGTGAGAAGGACGGGGTCGGGGGCTCAGCGGCCTCCTCCCGCCCACCAGGGAGATTGGGATGGGGTCAAGAGCACACGTCTCAGACCCCAGCCGCCAGAGTTTGAATCCGGGGTGCTCCCAGATCAGCCTGGAGAAGACTAAATGTCCCATGTCTGCTCCACACCCTGTGAGGCAGGGATGACAGCACGTCCCAGCTTGGTTGGAAGTGGAGGGCAAACACTTGAGAAGGCCGTAGCCCAGAGCTGGTTCTCAGCACTGCTCAGAGCATCTGACAAAAAATCCTACCTCTGCTGCGCACCCCGGGGCCCCACCGGGCCACGCCAACACCCCGCTGCACTTCAGTGCTCACAGGTCTAAGAGCCGTCTGAGGCTAAGCGGAGAAAATGCCGGGCCCAGCTGGCGCAAATGCGGCCGCCGGTGCATGGGCTCTCGGGGGCCGCGCACACCAGGAGGAAAAGTGCGCTCGGTTACAAGGGGGCCAACCGCAAAGGAACGGGGGGAGCAGCCGCGGGCTCTCGGGAGACTGGTGTCAAGGCCCCTGGGACTGAGGCCCGGGGGCACGCTGGAGAAACTCCTCAGGGAAAGCGCCCGTGGAGGCAGCAGCCTGCTGGGCCTCTGGCACGCCCAAGCTCCTGCCTGCTCTGAGCTCAACCTTCCCTTGCTCGCTGCCCACCCCGCCTCGCGGGTCCTCTCAGGCACTGGGCACGTTACAGCCGTCACCCCTAGTCGGCACCACACCACGTGCCCTCTTCTAGAGGCGGGGACAGGGGGGCACATGGTGTCTTCTGGGCTGTGATGGTCAGAGGTCAGAGAAGCACCTGGAGTGAGGAACCTGCCCGGGGCCCAGTCTCGGGTCCCTCTTTCTCCTGCTCTGTGGTCTGTGGCTCCAAGGGTTTCTGACGTCACAACCCTGACAGCCAATCACCAGTCACCCTGGGATGGTAGGTACAGTGATGGTAGAAACATCACTAGCTAAAATCCCAAGGTCAAGTCTTGGCAGAAGGACCCCCAGGTTGAGGACAGAAAGAGCCAAAGTGCCAGAGAAGGACAGTGAGCATCGGGCTGCCTGGCGCTTTGGCCATCCCGTGTCTGAACGGGGCTTGGTTTTTCCCCTTCGCTCCCTGTGCCCCAACATTTCCTCCAGAAGCTAATGGGCCCCAGCTGGGAGTGGATGTGGGCAGCAGCCACAGGGCCAGGGTCTGACAGGCTCCGGTGGCCGCCCTGGCTGGGGAGGCGGGGAATGCGACTGTTTATTTGGAATGGCCGTGCCCCGCCTCCGAGGGAGTTCAAGCGGTCAGAGGTGCCCAAGTCAATTAGTGAAATCTGATGGGGATGTCACCGGGCCTGGAAGACAGCCATCCAGTCTGGAGCCCGCCCCCAGTGCCCTCAGTGCCGCCGGTGACGGTGAGGGAGGCCGCAGCAGAACCCCCCCACCCAGGGTCTCCGTGGAGTTCCCAAGGCAGTGGGCATGGAGCACAGGGCCTGGTCTTCAGAGCTGGCCGAGCGACCTCACATGCTTCTCTGGGGGCTTAGCGCCCAAGCCCGGGTTTTCTCGCCGGCTGGGTGGTGACCACGGGGAAGAAAGGGTGGGCTGAGCGGCCAGCAGTGCACCTCCGACTCCACCACCAGCCTGCAAAGCCTCATGACACCAGCGTCATCCTCACGGCAGCCCCAGATGGTGAGCTGGGGGCTGCAGCTCCTCAAAAGAAAGTCAAAGCTCAGAGGCATCAAGGGCCCTGCCCCAGACGACAGGGGACTTAAGGCTCTTTCTGACTTCTGTCCTTTCATCCAAAATCTGTATTCATTGTCTGGAGGCTGCTGTAACAAATGACCACAAGCTGGAGGCTTGAAGCGTCAGGAATTTATTCTCTTGCAGTTCTGGGGCTGGAAGTCCAAACCATTGTGCCAGTGGGGCTGGCTGCCTCTGGAGCCTCTAAGAGAGTCCCTTCCACCCCTGAGCCCTGGCTCCGGGCACTAAACCCCGGTCTCAGCCTCTGGTCTCACCCGCCCCCATCTCTGTGGATCCCTGTGTGGAACCTGCTCTCATCAGGTGGCCTCGACTTGAGATCCTCACCTTCATCACCTCTGCCAAGACTCTCATTCCAAATAAAGCCATAGTCTGAGGTTCTGGGTAGATACACCTTAAGTGGGGCACAATTCAAACCACTACAGTCCACCCTCTGGTCCCCATTTCACATCCATCTCATGTGCAAAATGCTTTCACCCCATCCCAGTATCCCAAATTCTCATCCCATTACAGCATTAACTCTAATTAGGTCCCAAATCTCACCTAACTCTCATTAGCTCAGAATTCTCATCCTCTGAGTCACCTAAGTAGCCATGGGTGATGGCAATGGTCTATCATGGAGCAAGACGCCCTCCATCTGTGGGCCTGTGACACCAGAAAACAAGTTTTCTGCTCTCAAAATACAGGCATAGGGAGAAAATGGAAGGAACTCAGAGGTCACGGGTCCCAAGTAAGTTTGAAACCCAGCAAAACAAATTCCACTGGGCTCCCAGGCCTGAGAATGACCCTCTGAGGCTTGGCCCCCGCCCACTGAGCCCACGGGAGTTCCCCTGGCCTGGCCCCGGGCTCGCCTCTCTGTCCTCCACCTGTGTGTCTGGAGCTCGGCCCTCGGACTCCTCTCCCTTCGTCTTGGAGGACGACACGCGTCGTGGCTAAGTGTTCCACCAGTCATTTCCTGCATGTGGAGTCCAGGAAGTCCAACTGCTTTTTTTTTCTTTTTTTTTTTAATGTTACTGGGTCTCTGTCCTGTTCCGACCAGGCTGGCAGTGTTTTTGCTGATGGAACACTCTCAAAAACCTGTGGGTCTCTCACTTGCGTCAAGGGGGTCTATGCCATTCTGCAAGAGAGCTCTCCACAGACCCTTTCTGGAGAAGCCCAGCTCTCTCCTGGCTTTTGCTGAGACATCTGTCCGGATCCGGGAGCCACACACCCAACCTCTTCAGCGAAGGCTGTCCCAGCCTCACCCTTGGCCCTTCTCCAGCGCATGCTTTCCAAAGTGAATTCTCCACCTTCAGCAGCCTTTGGAATCTGAACCGGCCGAGAATCTCCCACATCAGGGGCTGGTTCCTTCCGCTAACAGCTCCTTCCTCAGTTCACTCCTTTCCTCTCACATTGTGCTATAAGCAGCGGAGGAGGAGCTCAGCTGCACCTTCTACGCTTTGTTTGGAAAACTCATCAACCACATGTTCATGGCTTCTGAGTTCTGCTTTGAAAAGGAGGTGGGGCAGAGCAGGTGCAGGAAAGCAAGAGGAGACCTAAACTCGTATTTGCCAAGCGCCTCGTGCGCCCAGGGACCACGGTCCAGTGCCTGGGGCTCTGACAGGCAAGCTCATCTCCATGGGGCGAAGCGAGCAGCCGAAGACCTCGGAGCCTGCCCCCACTCAAACACCCCTATTGGCTTAGCAGGGGGGCCCTCTGCCCCCGGCCTCCCCACGCTCGTGGGCCTAGCATGGCAGCCACTGGCCTGTCATCAAACACGTCTGCCTCCCTCCAGAGCCTCAAGTACCCCCGTGTCAAAGCCGATCCCCCCAGAGCTCTCTTCTGACACCCCCTCCTACTCCCATTTGCTCTCCCAGGCTGCAAACGTGCCTTCTCCCAGGGCAGAGGGGTACCCATCAGGGTGGGCCCTCGGGGTCTCCTCAGGGAGCACAGGGAACGGGAGGAAATTTAGCATGGGATTTATTCTCTGTTCTAGCTAAGAACTGACACGTAATCACTCTGATCAACTTAATTTTGTTAAATAAAAGGATAGTTTATTTTCATAATTTTGTGCTTTATTTTTTAAGATTTGCACTTTCGGTCCCTGGTGCAACGTGGATTTGATACGGGACTGACGGCTTTCAGAGGAGGGTCTACAACGTCCAGAAGTGGAGGGACTATAACCCATGGTGTCAGGGGACCCCAGGACTCAGACGGGAAGGGCCTTGCCCTCCACTCCTGCTACGGCCCCAGGGAGCCCTGCAGCCTGGCCAGCCTCAGGCTTGTAAGAGGGTTTTCTTTTGGGTGGTCCTCCCTGGTCAGGAGACCCTTCCCTCTGACCCCTAGGCCTGCAGGAGGAAGCAACAGGCACATCACCACGCAATGAGCCGGGGGAGAGAGTGAAACCTGAGGTGTCCTTGACCTGGGGAGCCCTGGTCACTCCTCTCACTCCTGCGATGCCCTTTCCTGTAACCACCCCCGCTGCCCTAGACCAGGAACGGCCAACACCAGGCTCAGTACCAGCAGCGCTCCCTGGCCTTCCCCTGCTCAGGGCAGACCCTGCAGTCATGGACTCCCCTCCAGGGTGATGGTGAATTTCACGTGCCCACTTGGCTGAGCCACAGAACCCCGGTCGTTGGTTAAGCATTATTCTGAATTCCTGTGATGAGATGAACATTTACATGAGCTGACTCTGGGTACAGTAGGTGACACTCCACAATGTGGGTGAGCCCTGTCCAATCAGTTGAAGGCCTGAACAGAACAAGACTGACCTCTGCAGAGGAGGAGGAAATTCCGCAGCCAACAACCTCCAGACTCAAATCGCAGCTCTCCCTGGGGCTCCAGACTGCTGGCCTCCACTGCAGATTTTGGACTTGCCAGGCCTCATAATCGTGGGCCAATTCCTTAAAATCTCCGTGTGCATACACACACACACCCTTTTGGTTCCATTTCTCCGAAGGACGCTGACTAATACACCTACTGAGCCAGGCAGCCTTGGAATCCGCATCTGCACAGTCCTCCAGGGAGAACCGCCAGTTCACACACCAGCTGAATCCATCCGCCTGGCAGTGGGCACGGCGGCAGTTGGCACTGTCCGCGGCTTGGTACATGTGGCCCAGGGCACGCTCCACTGCCCTACACGCCAGCCTCCTCTGAGACAGAGCACTCCCCTGGGCCCCAGAATTCCTGGGACAGCCTCCCCAGTTCTAACCAGCCCTTGCTCCACCCCTGTATTCCCTGTGAAGGAGAAGGGCAGCCTGGAGGCTAAGTTTTTCTTCCCCAGTAAACAAAAACCACAAGAAAAGCCCACTGAAGGAAAACACCAAGGCCCTGGACACCTTCTAAATCCAGAAGTCACCAGAAGGTGGGGTGACAGGGAGGCCCCAGCTGCCTGTCCTTCCCAGAGGTCTCCCAAGGACGACCTGGCAGCCGCCCGTGTCCCAGGAATGTGGACATCCTCTGGGTGTCCAGACTGTGCGACTGAGCAACACAAAGTCCTAACTGTGTTTACCTCGACATTCTCGTGGTTACGCACAAGGTACCCAGAAACGAGCCCACAAGAACTTGCCACCTGCCTCGGGGGCTCACACCCAGCGCCCTCCCCCGGGGGCATGGCTCCTGGGCCCACGCACCTTGTGGAGCCCTGGTTCCACTGTCTGTAAAGAACACTCCTCGGGAGGCTCCAATAAACGGGTGCTGCTATGAGAATCGGGGAGACTGGTAGCTCTAGAACGCAGGCAGGGCAGGACAGAAGACAGCGCGGAGCAGAACCAGCCCTGGAGCAGGCCAAGGGGCTGTCCCCTCTCTTCCCACTGGAGGGAGGGACCAAGAGGAAGCACACAGGAGACTGACCTTGAGGGCGGGGATCTCCACACTGTCGCCGAGGCTGACGGAGCCTGAGAGGATGGTCCCTGTCATCACCGTGCCTTGGCCTTTGATGGAGAAGCAGTGGTCCACAGACATGAGGAACGGTCCCGACGGGTCTCTTGCTGGGATAGGAATCTGGGACGTCAGGAGCTAGAAAAGAGATGCAGGTGCCACACCCCGTCGGGATCAGGGCTGCACGGCGCAGGCGGAGCAGGGTGTAGGCTTCAAGTAGGGCCGGGCAAGCTGCCCGGGAGATTGGAAGCTGGGCCCCCTGACCTCATTCCAGACCCCTGCCCCACTCTCAGCTCCTTCTCTCAGCGCGGAGGACCCTCCTCCACCCTCTCCCGCCAGGGTGACCGCGGCAGCGTCCTGACGTCACACGTGGGCACAGCACCCCCAGGCCAGCCTCCTGATGCCCAGGGCTCAGGGGTTATTGCCATCCAGCCCCCAGGTCCCACGGTGGCCCCACCTTGGCCCCCCCCCACGCCTGGAAGCTCCCCAGCCAGTGTCACCTCCCCCCGTTCCCTGATGCTGTCTCGGGAAGGGCCCCCCTGCCCTGTGTGTGCCGCCCAGGTAGCATACTGTTGGGATCATCTGCTCGTTCGGCTCCCCTTCCGGGCAGTGCGCACCCCCCACCCCCGCCCCATGGACAGGGAGAGCAGGGAGGGTCCCGGGCAGCTGGCTGCGTCTGGGGTGAAGGCCGCGCCCCCGCCCGGCAGAGACCCAGGGCCCGCCGCCCCTCCGCCGTGGGGCCGCTCTGCCCATGCTGCTGACTCTCCCTGGGCTTCAGCCTCGACCAGCCCTGCTTTCCTCCGCCGCCCACCCGCTCGGAGCTGTGGCCAGAGCTGATCACAAGAAACAAACGGACGTCAGTGCTGCACTATCCCTTGTCTTCTCTGCCTTCTGCTTTTGTTGGAGAACAAACTGTCAGCAGAGCATCTGGTAGTGAGTGCTCCAAACCCCCAGCCTTGTGATGACACTTCTTTCAGAAAAAGACTAGTCTCAAAACTGGCGTGCGTGGCCTGAGCTTTCAGCAGAGCCTCCCACAGAGCTCGGGAGCACCTTCGCTGGCAGCGTTTCTGTGCATTTTGCTTTAATACAAGTAATCGTCCCGCGTTCCTAGACGGTGCTCCCTAGAGCTGATGAAAAAGTAGGGAGTTTACCCAGAAGACGTCTGCTTTGCTAAGTCAGCAAGGTCGCGTAATCACAGAAACGGGGGCAGAGCCCACGGCCACACCTGATCTCAGCTCCGTGGGCCCAGTGCAAGTAGGCCCCCAAGCCAGCCCCTGCCATCAGCGTGGACCTGAGCCCCAGCTCTAGCTCGCACTCACTGTGAGGCCTGGGCAAGTTGCTCGACCTTTCTGAAGCTCAGATTCTTTCCTGGCAAAATGCGGATAAATAAACTTCACCCTCTACGAATCCTGATGATCCCACAAGACAAGAACTCAGCGCAGCGCCCGGCACGTGACAGCCAACCTCACCATCAGAGCAAACCCGATACACACCACCCCGGGCACGTTTTATATATCAGCACAAACTCCACAAGCTTAGCGGTGCCGCTGTCTCCCCTGCTGTGCAAGTGAGGGACTGAGGCAGGGAGAGCAGGTCACAGAGGGAGGCGGTGGGGCCGGCACTGGGGCCACTGCAGCCCCTGCGCTGCCCGGAGCGCTAAGCAGAGGGATACACCCGCACCCTGGCCGCCCTGGGCGCCTGCGGGATGGCTGGGCTCCCTCGCACAACCACCGAGCCAGGAGGAATGGACAAGGATGCATGCTACACTGCCCCACTGCTGTGCCTCAGCCTGGGGGGACACACAGGAGGGGCTAGCACAGTCCCAAGGACTGGAGTGGGTGACATGGCCCCAGGAGCCCAGGCTGTGGGGGCTGCCTTGTGGAGGAGTTTGACAGGAGAAAGGAAGAAGGCAGGCTTGCAAGGATGTGGACAGCTCTGCAGAGCTGTGGGCCGTGGCGAGGGAGGCCTTTGGTCCTGTTCTGGTTTGAGGTGAGGGAGGTGAGGGAGGCGGCAGTGAGGGGTGAGTGGGGGGGCCTCAGGCTGAGCAGGAACAGGGGGCCACTTGTGTGGGGCCGGGGCCACAGGCAACCTGGACTCAAGCTGACGGTACCTCAATGAGCTCGGAGATGCCCTGCGGAGCTTCTGTTTCGGGGGCCTCTGGCCCCCCAGGCCTGGCCGCCACGGGTATGATCGGTGCGCCTCGGAACCTGGAACAGAGAAGCGAGTCCCAGCACGGCCCCCAGCTGCCGCAGCCCGCCAGCGGGCCGCGGCACCCCCACTGGCAGCCGAGGGAGCCGAGGCCCCGGGCTGAACGAAGGGATCCGAAAGGGTCTCTGCAGCCTCCCTGAGGAGGAGCCCTGAAGCCTGGCCCCTAGACCTGTGAGTGAAAGGCCCTGACAAGACCCCTGGATCCATGCAGCCTCCAGCAGACGCTCGGGAGACGCTGGAGGTGAGAAGTGCCTGCAGGTACACCTGGAGGCTCACGGCACCCCTCCCTGGCCCTCCCTGGCACCTGCCTCTTTAACGAGACTCTTAGCATGAGTTCATGTTTATCTTTTCCACTGGAAAACAAAAACCCAAAACCAGAAAAGAGAAAACACACGGCCCCCGTCCCTCACTGTGGTGTGCTTCCTTCCAACCTCGGGTTTTCCGTGCACTGCCAAGGAACGACTCTTTTCACATTTTGGTTATGGTGTTCATACAGTTTCACGCCCTTCTAGCTTATTCACCCTGATACCCCAACATAAAGAAGGGGTGCAGCGGCTGAGCTCTCCCTCTGTGTGTGCTCGGCCGCACAGGCAGGGCTCAGCCCCACTGCAGAGAAGCCGAGTGGCTGGCCCAAGGCCACAGGGCTGCAGGAGTCCAGAGTCCAGGCCTCTTCCACGGAGGCCGAGAGGGTGACAGGAAGAGCCTGTCCTCAGGCCGCAGGGAGGCTCAGCCGCAGACTCTGCGAGCCAGGGCCCAGCCCCGAGCCAGGCCCGGCACACTGCATCCTCCTGCAATACTCTGAGCCCGGGGAGGGTAAAAGCACACACTGAGAATTCCAGCGACTAACCGTAAAGCTTTTGGAAATTCAATTATTGTTTATCCAAAGCCTTTGGGGCAACGTATTGTGACAAAACAGAATGCATGTTGGGCTGGGTGTCTGGCTCTTTCCCAGGCTCAGGAGAAGCCGGCCTTGCTGATCTCCTGAACATGCACACATTGGGGCATCCGGGCTCCCCCAGCCCCTGGGGGACAAGAGGCCCTCCTGCCTTGGGCTTCAGATCAGGTTCTAGGAGCACAAGTGGCTCTGACCAGGAAGAGCCCTGAGGTCAGCCCCGCAGCTCAGCAGAGCAGGAGGGGCCGCCCGGAGCGCATCCCAGCACGGCCCCTGCCACTGGACTCCACGCAGCTGAGCTGGGGTACCTCACCACGAGGGCCAGGCCTGGCTCAGGGCTGGGCTGACTGTGCATGCAGGCTGGCCTTCGCAACCACAAGCACAACCTCAGATCAGTAGAAAAGAAAAAAAAAGCACGCATGCACACAGGTGTGTCCGTACGTGAGACTCACGTAAAAGACATAAAGAAGCAGGGCAAGTGTTAGGTTTTGAGAAGCAGAATTCAAAAAGCAGCATTTAAAAAACAGTGATACTTACTTTGCCTTAGTTTTCTCATCAGTCGAGGCAGGGGCAAGACCCTGGGGGAGCCGGGAGGACCTGACTGTGCGGGAAGCCCCAGCCCAGGGTCAAGCGCTCAGTAGTGCTCCACGCCACAGCCCCCACCATGTACCAGACTCCCTCATCCAAACACTGAGGCTGACATCAGCCCCCCTGTCTCCAGGGAAGAACCACCAGCTCAGAGAGAGACGCTGAGCTGCCCGAGACCACAGCCTGGACACTGCAGAGCTGGCGTGGACGCACACCCTGTGTGGGTCTGCGGGCCGCAGCCAGGTCCAGGGGCTTGGCATCCCACCCCGCCCCAGACAGCCTTGGCTAAAACAGAAACAAGGAAACAGAGAGTGTTTAAAGGCAGGAGGAGACACAGGGACGTCTGGGGGAAAGAGGCATCAAGGATGCTGTCAGACAGTAACATTTAGTGCAAAAGTGAACGGAAGAGCCTAGAACACAGAGCAACGGCAGCGCTGTGATAACCACCCCCTCAAATCACGCGCGCGGGGGTGGGGGGGAGACCGACAGGGAGCCGAGGGAAAAGCACTTCAATCTGATGCATCGGGAAGACTGTGGGTACATTTTTATCTTCTATTTTCATTTCTGTTTACATTGATAAATGCTTATGCAAGAGTAATTTTAAATGCTTTCAGAGATAATGAAATCAGAAAGAAAAACAAAGCGTTTGACTACATAAAAATTAGAAACCTCTGCACGTCAAAAAAAAAAACTAAAATGGAAAGACAAACAAGTACTAGAGACTTATTTGTTGGAAACATGATCGGCAAAGGGTTAATTAGTAACAACGTCTTTATTGATATGAAACCCTGCTAAGAAGCAGAGAGAAAGCATCAAACTGTCCAGAGGCCGACAGACAGAACACGCGGGCCCGATTAACACACAGAAACTCAGCTGTTTACCGCACTTAAGGGGACACGCTCAAGCGCACCAACAATTAAAGAGCCACATGTATTACAGCAAGAGTAAAACACCATTGCAGCCCAACTGCTCCAAGCATACTTCTAAATTAGAGACTGGAGCTCACTGCTGGCCCTGTGAGCGACGGACGAGGGCATGGAGACACAGCGGAGGTCCCAGGCTCCTGCCCTTTGCCCCGGTGACTGCACAGCTGGGGCCCTCTCAAGAGGGAACACTGAAAACACAAAGTTCAGTGGTGCTCAGAGATGGTCACCAGGATCATTCATTTACAAGAAGGAAAACTTCAGCTGCTCCCAAGGGTCAACAGCAGAGTGATGGTTACACGAATAACTGCTCTACAAAAGGTAAGGAATACAAGCAGAAACCCAAGGCATAAACACCTCATGGCTGCAGCTACACGTTGGGGGCACCAAGCCCAGTGAGGCTGGAGGTGCGAGGTCAGCACACAAAGATCAGCTGTGTTTCTATACACCCGCAAAACAATCTGAAATGGAAACGGAGAAAGGAATTGCATTTCTAATGGCACCTAACAGAATTAAATACGTAGGAATAAGTCTAAGGATATGAAAGACTTAGATACCCACAACTACAAGGCCTGGATGAAAGAAGTTTTAAAAGATCTAAACACATGGAAAGACACCTGTGTCAATGGACTGGAAGACTTACTCCTGTTAAGAGGTCCATATGCCCAAAGCCCTGTTAAAATTCCACAGCCATTTTTTGCTGAAATGGAAAAGCATATTTAGATGGGAATTGCAAGGAGCCTCAAATAGCCAAAACCACCTTGAAAAAGAAGCAGAAAGGTGGAGGACTCAGCTTCCTGACTTTGAAACTGTCTATGAAGGGACCTGAAACACGTGGCACGGTACCAGCATAGGACACAGAGCAGCAGAACCCACGAGTATCTGGTCCACTGACGTTTGACAAGGACAAAAGGGAAAAGAGACCTTTCAGCACACGGTGCTAGGAAAACTGGACGTCCACATGCCAAAGGACGAGGTCGAGCCCTTAACATACGCCATACACAGAAACGAAAGTGGACCAAAGACCTAAACCTAAGAGCCAACACAAGAACATTTTTAGGAAAAAAAATGGGGGAAAAGTATCATAACAATGGACTTGCCAACAATTTCATAAATGTGACACCAAAAGCACAGTCAAAGAAAAGAAAAAATAAAGAAATTGGGTTTCATCCAAATTAAGAACTTTTGTGCATCGAGGATTGTGCACAATCGAAAAAAGTGAAAAGACAACCTGCAGAACGGAAGAAAACTCCTGCAAATGCCGTGCCCGACACGGGGGGGATCCCGGAGTGCCCACGGCCCCCGCGCCGGACACGGGGGGATCCCGGAGTG